AAAAAAAAAAAAAGAAAACACTGGATTTGCCCTACAAAGAAACATTTGATTTTCAGCTTTTAGACACAAACCATCAACAAAGCATGAGGACTTAATTATAACTATAGAACAAACAATGTTGTCAGTGTTGACAATATCATAGTACATTTGATAGAAAGTTGAAGGGAGTCTAGAGATACTGATCCAAACTGTGCAAGAGTGAGACCTCCAAGCTGGGCACAGTGGCTCACACCTGTAATCCTAACACTCTGGGAGACCAAGGAGGGCAGATTGCTTGAGCTCAGGAGTTCAAGACCACCCTGAGCAATAGCGAGACCCTGTCTCTACTAAAAGTAGAAAAACTGAGGCAAGAGGATTGCTTGAGCCCAAGAACTTGAGGTTGCTATGAGCTGTAATGCCATGGCACTCTAGTCAGGGCACCAGAGTGAGACTCTTATCTCAAAAAAAAAAAAAGAGAGAGAGAGAGACCCCCATCTCTACAAAAAATAGAAAAATTAGCTGGGCATGGTGGCAAGTGCCTTTCATCCCAGCTACTCAGGAGGCCAAGGCAGGAGGATCTCTTGAGCCCAGGAGTTTGAGGTTTCAGTGAGCTATGAGGAGACTACTACACTGCGCTTTAGCCTGGACAATATAGCAAGACCTTGTCAAAAAAGAAGAAAATACTGTCTGTAATTGATGGAACAAGAAATACATTTTGATCAGTGTAATAGCTTATTAATCTATGTTACAAAAGTACTTATGAAAAGCAGTAAATCTATTGGGAAGATAGAGGTAAGCAGAGGTGCTAGGGGCAAGATTTCATTATAAATTTGATAAGTAAAGAAATAGCTATAACCATGAAGAAAAGACAAAAGAATGAGAGAGATAGTGTCTAGAGATAAAAATTGGTGTTGAAAGACAAAATTTCAAGAAATTTAATTTAAAGATGTCAATTTGCTTTATTTGCAATTTTAAAATTGGGCAATACTTCATTCCATAAAGTAGAGTAAGTATTCTGATGCGCTGAGCAGAAGAGATTGGCTTTATAGATAGAGAAAGGCTGAAGAAAGCAGAGAAGCAGCAAAAAAAGAGTATATTAGTCCCTTCAAAGCTACTTTTCTTTTTTTTTTTTTTTTTTTTTGCAGTTTTTGGCCAGGGCTGGGTTTAAACCCACTACCTCCAGTATATGGGACTGGCGCCCTACTCCTTTGAGCCACAGGCGCTGCCCCAAAGCTACTTTTCTTATAAGGGAAGGACAGAGAGACAGAATAATAGAAAAATAACTGATTAGGTTATATCTGGCTACCTTTTTTGTGTAAAGGTTAAAGCAGAAGGAGCTTCATTATCATGTTGACTGAACATTTAAAGTGGTCTATTTGTGAAATTGGCTGTGATCTGTTGGGTGTGAACTCCTCTCTAGACTCTTGATTTTGGGGGGGTAAGGGGAGGAGGTGGATAAGGGGGACTCATCTCGGGGATCTTGTTTTATCATCCCTACTAGTATGGAACAGCTGGACTCAAGTGATCCTCCCTCTTCAGCCTCCCAAGTCGCTGGGACTACAGGCATATGCCACCATACCCAGCTTCTCCTGATTTTTGATTTCTTAAAGGTCAGAAAACAACTTAGTTTAGATTGAGTGACTTGGAACCTTAGTGTGGGTGACTTCATTTTGAATTTTAGTTTATAGTGGGACAGGGATATATTGCTTGTACTATACACTTATGTTACTTTTATGAAAACTGTTTTTAAATGATAAGAAAAAGGGGAGAGTGCAGTGGCTCACACCTGTAATCTTAGCACTCGAGAGGCTGAGGCAGGTGGATTGCCTGAACTCACAGCTTCGAGACCAGCCTGAGCCAGAGCAAGACCTCATCTCTAAAAATAGCCAGGAGTTGTGGCAGGCGCCTGTAGTCCCAGCTACTTGGGAGGCTGAGCAAGAGAATCGCTTGATCTCAGGAGTTTGAGGTTTCTGTGAGCTAAGACACCGCAGCACTCTACCAAGGGTGACAAAGTAAGACTCTGTCTCAAAAAATAAATAAATAAATAAATTATAAGAAAAAGACTAGCTAGGTAGGGTGGTGTGTGTTTATACTTCCACCTACTGTGGAGGCTGAGGCAGGAGGATCAGTTGAACCCAGGAGTTCAAGGCCAGCCTGAGCAATATGGTGACACTTCATCTTTTATAAAAAAGTTAGTGTTGGCTGGGTGCAATGGTTCACACCTATAATCCTAGTACTCTGGGAGGCCAAGGCAGGATTGCTTGAGCTTGAGAGTTTGAGATGAGCCTGAGCAAGAGTCAGACCCTGTTTCTACTAAAAATAGAAACTGTTGCAGACACCTGGAGTCCCAGCTACTCAGGAGGCTGAGGCAAAAGAATCACTTGAGTCCAGGTTGCTGTGAACTAGGCTATAGTACTATAGAACTATAATACTATATCCAGGGAGACAGAGTGACACTCGTCTCAAACAAACAAACAGTGAGTATTGAAATGAGTAGAAACTTCCATTTTCAAACACTCATCCACTCCTGTACCTGTTGTTCCTTTTGGATTTAGAAAATGCTATTTCTTCCTTTCTGCTTTTCGTTTTGTCTGCATCTTTCCTCTTGTTGGCTTCCTACAGGTGACATTGCATTCCGGTTCCTTAATTATGTTCAGGCACAGCATCAGAGAAAGCGGAAGAGGCAGTTAAAGGCTCAACAAAATTTATCCTGGGAAGAAATTGCCAAAAAATACCAGAACCAAGAGGATTCCTTGGGCGGTTCCCATGTCATTGTCTGTGACATTAACAAGGAGATGCTAAAGGCGGGAAAGCAGAAAGCATTTGCTCAAGGACACAAAGCTGGTAAGTCCTACAAAGAAGAGACACAGAGGAAATGTTTGTATGTTTATAAAATAAGATAGAATATGTAAAATGTTGAAATGCTTTTATCTTCCACTTTTCAGAAACTTATAGATTGGCAGGTATTAAAGATAATTTATGTGGCTGAGTCAGTTTTTGTGGTGCCATATACGTTATTTTACTAACTCTATTTTTTCTTTTTTGGTTTTATTTTTTTTTGAGACTCTCACTATGTCACCCTCAGTAGAGTACTGTGGGTCACAGCTCACAGCAACCTCAAGCTCTTGGGCTTAAGCGATTCTCTGGCCTCAGCCTCCCAAGTAGCTGGGACTACAGGCGCCTGCCATAGCACCCAGCTATTTTTCTGTTGCAGTTGTCATTATTGCTTAGCTGGGCTGGGCTGGGTTCTAACCCACCAGCCTCAGTGCGTGTGGCCAGCACCGAGCCATTTTTTTTTTTTCTGGCGGGGGAAGACAGAGTCTCACTAAGTCGCCCTCAGTAGAGTGCTGTGTCATCACAGCTCACAGCAACCTCAAACTCTTGGGCTCAAATATTTCTCTTGCCTCAGCCTCCAGAGCAGGGTAGCTGGGACTATAGGCACCTGCCACAATGCCCGGCTATTTTTTGGTTGCAGTTATCATTGTTGTTTAGCAGGCCCAGGCTGGGCTGGAACCCACCAGCCTCCCTGGATGTGGCTGGTGCCCTACTCACTAAGCTATGGGCGCTGAGCCACCAGGCTATTTTTTGGTTGCAGTTGTCATTGTTGTTTGGCAGGCCCAGGCTGGGTTCAAACCCTACAGCTCCAATATATGTGGCTGGCGCCCTAGCTGCTGAGCTCCATGCACTGAGCCTTCACTAACCTTATGTGACAGGGAAAATAAAGCCCAAAGAGATGAAGAATCTTACTCAAGTTATACAACTTTTGTTTTTCTTTTTTTTTTAGAGACAGAGTCTTACTTCATTGCCCTCGTAGAGTGCCGTAGTGTCACAGCCCACAGCAACCTCCAGCTCCTGGGCGTAGGCCATTCTCCTGCCCCAGCCTCCCGAGTACAGGCGCCCGCCACAATGCCCGGTTATGTTTTTGTTGCAGTTTGGCCGGAGCCAAGTTTGAACCCGTCACCCTCAGTATATGGGGCCGATGCCCCACTCACTGTGCCACAGGTGCTGCCCAAATTATACAACTTTTATTGTTGTTGTTGCAGTTGTTGTTTTTTAGCTGGCCAGGACCGGGTTCAAACCCCCCAGCCTTGATGTATGTGGCCGGTGCCCTATCCACTGAGCTACCCAAGTTATACAACTATTTTATTTTATTTTTATTTTTTATTTTTTATTTTATTTTTTAATTTAATTTAATTTAATTTTTATTGCAGAGTCTCACTCTGTCCCCCTGGGTAGACTGCTATGGCATCATAGCTCACAGCAACCTTAAACTCTTAGGCTCAAGTGATCCTCTAGCATCAGCCTCCCAAGTAGCTGGGACTATGGGCACCTGCCCAGCTAGTTCTTCTATTTTTAGAAGAGACAGGGTCTTATTCTTACTCAGGCTGTCTCAAACTCCGGAGCTGAAGCAATCCACCTCCCTCCCAAAGCGCTAGGATTACTGGTATGAGCCACCTCGCCTAACTCAACAACTTTTAAGTGGAAGATCCCAAATTGGAGCAGAATCTTCAGATCTCTGTTCATTAACCCTGAGATAGATGATTTTTTTCCTTTCAACTCCTAGCAGCTCCAAGATGGCCATAGCATATCATTCCTATTCTTTTTTTTTTTTTTTTTTAACATCATTCCCATTCTTGAGCCATTCCATTCTCTGATTTGATTGATGTAGAACTAGAGCTTGGATCTCCTGTAAATAAAGCATTTGCCCTTCAGCCACAAGGAGTATAGTAAGCTAACAGCCTCCAACTATTAGTGCTGACAGCCTCTGATCCCCACCAATGCCTGAGCACTGTGGGGCTACTACGGCCTAGATATAAGGGCCTAGATATAAGTCCCCCAAGTGGGACTCTTTCAGCAGCCACTCTTTGCTATGATAAAAAAGCATAGGCAGGATCAGTGCCTGTGGCTCAAGTGGCTAAGGTGCCAGCCACATACACCTAAGGTGGCGAGTTCGAATCCAGCCCGGGCCCGCCAAAACAACAATGATGGCTGCAACCAAAAAATAGCCAAGCATAGTGGTGGGCGCCTGTGGTCCCAGCTACTTGGGAGGCTGAGGCAGGAGACTCGCTTGAGCC